TATTAGGGGCGGTCGCGGCACAAATTCGCCTAAGTCCTTCTCTCCCAAGGGTTTGAGGCGAGGTCGAATTCTCTCCCTTGCAACCGGTTTTGGTGGTCGATCAGCCTGGGACTCTTTGAGTTTTTGGGCTTTCGCAAGGATGGTCCGATCCTCCACCTCTTGAGCCCTCCTCCTCGCTTCCAACTCCACTCGGTCGAGGTCTCCACCGCTCGGCTGTGGACCCAACCCTGCCTCAAACAATGCAGACGGCTGAACGAGCTCGTCCCATTTGGCCCCTTCTTTCTCCCTCCACTCCTTCATCCTCTTCACCCTCTCCTTTGCTGCTGCCCCCAACTTTGGCTTCATCGACTTGGTAGGCACCTTCTAGATGGTGCGCACTCCAACTCCTCTACTAGCGGACACATAGAACCACCGTGGTCTCCACCCCTTGATCGACGACGGCAGACCCGTCACCAGCCCTTTCCCTGTTGCCGCCTGCAGAGTGACCCAAGTCTCTTGCTGCCCTGAGGCCTTGTAGCACGCGAAGAATTCGCCCACTTTCATGGCCGCCCCTTCATTCGCCTTCGGCCAGGCACTTGCACAGGATAGCAAGATCTTCCACGCATTGGGCATTAGTTGCCCCGGCGCCACCTCCAAGCGATTTAAGACATCTATTACCACCTACGGCAGGGGTAGCCTCAGTCCTCCTTTCAATGCCTCCTCATAAAGGGCAAACTGCCCTAGCATGGCATCGGATGGCCTCTCTGTCGACGTCGGCAACGACAACTCTATTTTGGCAGGCACCTGGTATTTTTCGCGAATAGCCTCCAAATCCGCTGCAGTGACCGTTGATTTATCTGCCTTTGTGTGCCAGTGATCAGGTTCTGCCTGGTTGATTGGCCTTAGAGCTGCTATCATGGTGGAACCGTGGGATCTTACAATTGACTCCCCCACCCTCTCCATCCTGTATTGTTGCGCTAACTCCACCGCATCATCATCTCCAAGTGGGTCCACCCTGACAATCGCATTTCCTTCTTGGGCCATTTCTGTGGTATGTTTGCGAATCGCTTCGGAGGCAGGTGCAAGGAAATCGCAAAAGTGTTGCAAAGGTGTATTGTGAGCAACAAAGGAATTCACACTTGGAATATTTTGATTTTTCGTAAACAAGTAGGTAAATCAAATAATGCCAAAAGCCCACGGTTTGCCCGTATTCCAAGGATCCCAATTAATTTTTGCCAGTTTGAAAACTTTTCAAAATCATCTGCCAAAACTGTCTCTTCAACACCCATAATGACTTACCGTTTCATTTCTAATCCAACGCCTAATCTTCTCCCCCTACGGGATGTTGCCACGTGTACGACCACGATCCACTGTCTCCTCCCCTTACCCTGTCTTTGCCACTTCAAATCACCACGTGACATGCCGCATCTTGAGCCCCATGCCCCTCCACCTCACCCTTCGTGGTCGGCCCTCCTTGTTGTCGACCATCCCACTTGGCCAACACCGCGGTCGACCTTACCACTCGGCCGACACCGCGGTTGGCCCTCCCGCTCGGCCAACCACCGCGGTCGGCCCCCCTTCGCGGTCGGCCCTCCTTGGTGTCGACCATCCCACTCGGCCAACCTTGCGATCGGTCCTCTCCGTGATCGGCCCTTCCACTCGGTCGCCCTGCACAGTCGGACCACCTCCCGGTTGGTTCACTCCCTCGATCACCCCTTCCGGTCGACCTCTATCCTGCCAATCCCTAATACACTCATCTACAACATTAATATTCCCTTCGTTGGACTAAAGCTGCACTCGGGAATGGGGGACTACTGACGTGTATAAGCCCATAAAGGCCACGAATCACCTATGGACAATCCAAGCCCATCACTTGGAGCCCAATACATAACCCAGCTTGGGGTCCAGACAGCTGGAGTCCAACATGGCATAAAGAGCCATGACATTCAGACACACGGCAAGAGAAGACGAGCCACATCAGTAGACAAAGATCTGCAAAGTTATTGCCACTGCACATCACCATTAATGCAGCCCATCACAGCATTATTACGACAAGTACCTCTCCGTCAGAACAGGACCCCCTTACCCTGACAAGTAAGCTACATAGTAGGCTTTCGGCGAGGAGAGCAGTCGAAAGGACAGCGAATATGATTACCAAAGGATATAAAGCGAACGTTGAGGACAAGAAGAAGGTTAAGCTTTCTACTCTCTAATTTCTCCCCTAATACTCTACTTCTCTTCCTAACTTGCTCGTCGGAGGGTTCACTGGGGGACTACCCCGTTTCCCGTTGAACTTATTTGCAGGTTATCCGGTAGGTTTGATCATTTAAACTTTGGCTTGAGGGGCTTGAGGGGCTTGGACCAGTTCGCTCCATTCACTGGGATAAACTGTATCATCATCTTCTAAGTTCCTAAATTATATGAATCAAAATCTATTTAGTTTCTAAACTTTCAATTGAATCTATTAAATTCGTAAAATATTTAACTCAAATCTATTTAATTCCTAAAATAATTATTAAATTAAAATATATGTCCGCAAGTGTTATAAATTAGTAAAAGACCTTATATTATTAAAAATTTATTACAAATTTTTTTAATTTTTATTTTGTCTCTATTAAGCATTTTATTTCGTTGTGTGATTAAATTAATATTAAAGTTTGATTTCTCAAGCTTGCCAATAAAATTATATAAGTATTAGATATATTGAAAAAGTAGTATTAGATATATTGAAAAAATAGAATTAGATAATTTAAATAATAACATTTTGCTACAGATAATACTAGAAAAAATAATATATTAATTAAATTATAAAAAGAATTTAGTGAAAAATTTAAAAGCAATCAATTAATAATTATAAACAAAATTTTACATATAATATTAGATAAAGGCAAATACATGTAGTCATTTTAGAAGATAAATAAGAAAATATTATAAATAATTACTTTTATCCTTATAAAGAAAATTCACCCTAAGAGGTAGCACCCACTTTTTAAAGATAGAATAAAAATTTAAGGTTTTTTGAAATAAAATTTTAATTAGATTAGGGTCTTTTATCAGTTTATAATATTTATGAGCACAAATAGGTTTGATTTAATATCTTAGGAATTTAATAGATTCAATCGATAGTTTAAGAACTAAATAGATTTCAATCTATATACTTTAGGGACTTAATATATTGACAATTTGACGATAATTTAGGGGTATACAGTGTAATAAACCCATTACACTAACCTTAAAATTTGGAAAAAAACAGTTTTAAAGTTTTGATGTAATTTTATTAAATTTTCTTTTAATATGGCTAAATGAATCAGAATTAATGTAAAAACATAAAATAATTTAAGATATAAGTGGCTGTATAAAAGGAATGAGATGATCATTTTTTTATTCATGTAATTAAGAAATTATTAATCAATATGAGACTCACTATTTTAATATAATTATATTAAAATTATACAATGGGTAAATTACAAATACACTCCTGAGGTTTCTAATTTCATAACAAATTCTCCTTTTATTAATAAGCCATTAAGTCAATTAACAGTTTTTAATGATGTCAAAAATATGTTTTAATTAATAATTTAGGTAATTTTATTATTGTATAGGAGGGCAATTATAAATTTTATTTTTTCAGTTAATTTTGTGAAATAAAAAACTCTAATAAGGGGGTATTTGTTATTTTTCAAACCACAGGGACTAATCTGTATTTTAAGCAAACTTTAAGGGGTGTATTTGTAATTTACCCTTATATAATTTATTTTATATATATATATATATATATATATATATTTTCAAATATAAAAGACAAGTATTATCTGCCCTAAGCGCATCTCCAATATTAATTGTTATAATAGCATTGCTAAAATTATAATTTGACATGTTACAGTTGTAAAATGCTAAATTATAGTAATGTTTCTCCAATGGTGCAGTGTCATTTTGGCATATTTCCAACCAACTTTTTCACATATTTTTTAGGTGGTGTTTAGATATAATTTTTTGAGTAGTTTTTTTGTTTTTGTTTTTGTTTTTGTCTTTTATCATCTTTTTAAGACTTTTTTTAAAAAATCATTAAGTTAGTTAACAATTTTCAATGATTTTAGAAACATATTTTAATTAATAATTTAAATAATTTTATTATTATATAATCGAATAATTATAAATTTTATTTTTTTAGTTAATTTTGTTAAATAAATAATTCTGACAAAGAGATATTTAAAATTTCTAAACAAAAAATAATTTATATTTTAAGCAAATCTTAGAAATTGTATTTATAATTTACCTAAAATACATTAATGATAATATAAAAATTAAATTACATACCAACTATTACCTAAAATACATTAATGATAATATAAAAACTAAATTGCATACCAACTGTTACCTAAAATACATTGATGATAATGTGCCTGTTTGGTGCAGCTTAAAAGTTGCTTATTTTAGCTTTCAGCGTAATTTAAACTATTTTGATGTGTTTGGTTTAGCTTAACAATGCAGCTTATAGCTTTTTGTAAGTCAGAAATCAGCTTATTCTTTGAGTAGGGCAGGAGATGCTTAATTTATAAGTTAAAAATTAGCTTATGTTCATAGTTATAAGGCATAAACTGTTAAGGCATAAGTTATAAATACTTTCTCACAGCTCTACCAAACAGGGCCAATATAAAAATTAAATTACATACTAACTATTTCATCTATGGAAAATTTACCCATAAGTCCTAGTTTCTGAAAAGTTGAACCATTTAGTCCCAAAAGTTTTCTTATGCTCCATTTAGTTCCATTTGCACATCAATCTAATGTTTGAAACATTAATCTGATGTTCGAAATCTAATGTTCAAAACATTAATCTGATGTTCGAAATTTAATGTTCGAAACATTAATGTTTGAAATATTGTAATGGGACCTTTCAGTCTGTAAAATTTTTTTTAAGACTAACCAGTGTATAAGTTATTAATTTAAAATTTATTAGTGCATCCCCTTCATCTATATCCTTCCTTTTAAATTTCATAACTATTTCAGATTTTTTTGGGGCCACAAAACTATTGCAGATTGAAGCCTTCTCTCTCTCTCATCCCTTAGAGCAAACGAAGTGGTTGCTGCGAAACCCTAGCCGCATACAGAGAATAAAGTAGAGTAGGAGAACAAAAGCAATTGCTGCGAAAACCCCAAGCTTTTTCAGGTAATTCCTCTTTCTCTCTCCTCTTTGCCGAACCATCCCACCGTAACCCTACAGTATTTGTCAACAATAAAAGCAATAATATGTTATTGTTCTTCCATTTCGTGATCTCAAGAAAAAAAAGAGGGGTTTCGTGATCTGCACAAAATCAACAAAAAAGTAATCTTTTCCAGTTAATAATTTTGCCTATCTCATAAGAATACATGTATAGTGTCAGTGTCCGTATATGTATGAAGTACCTGTTCTTTTTCTAGGGCAGAGGGGCTGTTGTTGGCAGCCATTGAAACCTGAAGGAATTGAAAGATGAATCAGAAAAAATATTCAGAAACAAGAAGTCACTCACTAATCAGAAAAAATATTCCGAAATTATTGTACATTTTCAATTATATACTTACGAATTATTTATAAATTTTCGATATTTAATTTTTGATTTTTTAAAATTAAATAGGTTCTGTAGTGCCGAATGTTTTACAATTTTTCAGTACTTGATATCAGAGTAGTTTATGCAAGCAATGGATAGAGTGTAACAATGGAGTGTAGCAAGTAATGGAAAACAATAGAGGTAGTGAGAAACAATGTAGGAACTAAGTTTTAATTTTTGTTTTTTTATTTTATTTTATATAAAAGATGTGCATTGAGAATTATTGTTTTTTTAAAGATGTGTACAGAGAAAATCTAGATTAATTTGTAGTGTGTATTGATGTCCATTATGGTCATTTTGCTTCATGATAAAATTGTCATAACTTTTTTTTTCATTAATTGTGTACACAGAGACAAAAGCGTGGAAATAGAATCTCCCATAATAAACAGAGACTAGATCACAAATGGGTTGAGACTCGAAAGGGCTGAGAGACATGCCCCCGCAGTCTTCAGGTGATGTTTCTACTTCATTGTCATTGCTAGACATGTTAATACTTCCTAGGGGTTTACATTCTTTTCTTCAGCTCATCTTTGTCTAGATTCAAGTTCACTATTTGCATTATTTTCTTTTGTCGTGCATTATTTTTATTAGCATATATATATATATTTTAATATTAATGAACAAGAGCTTTTGGAGTGCAACTGTTTTATTTTCTAATAGGTTTCAATGCTTGGAAACAAGAGTAAATAGTTTCTTATATATATTTTTTCTTTTTATTTGTAATAAAATAGGTTGTTTACTTGGAAGTTTTGATGGCATGAGTGGAGTTGGAAAAAAATAAAATAAGGTATTCTTTGCTTCTGATTATCTTGGGTGTATTTTCCTTATTTAATTAGATTGTTTTTTATATTATTTTTATTTAATGTTTTGTTTTCATTTAAATGTTTCAATTAATAGTTTCTCTACTCTTATAATAATGTTGCATTTTACTTGGTAATTTGATGAAACATTTTTATTTGAGAAAAATAAAAAATCTGGTTAACATATTGTGCAGCTCATGTATTAATTTGGATAGTATTTTCTTATTTTTCCTTTTGTAGTTTTGGTGGTTAACCAACCGTTGGTTCTTGTACATTTTGGTTTGAAAACCTTTACCAGAAATCGTCAGTAGAGTAATTACAATCCAGTGGGGATTTTTTTTAAAAAGCAATAGACGTGCAATGGTTTGTCGCTCCATTATATCTAATGTAGTTGCAGAGACCTACCCCGGCCTTTCCATCTTGCATGACAACCCAACATGCCATTTTTTTGGTTGTGCCGAACTATTATAGTTGTGGGTAGTCAGCCATTTGATATACTGTTTATTTTCTTTGTTTATTTCTTTATTTTTGTTTTGTTTTGTTTTGTTTTATTGTATTTTTCTTTTCTTTTTATACTGTACAGTAAAAAATATTGCCGATTGGACAAACTTTTGAGAGCATTACTCTTGATATCGTGGGATGGTACACTGTACACGGGTGCTCGTCTTTCTGAGCAAATTGGCATTAGGGCGTTGGGACTAACTTTCCTCTCTAGTGGGGATAAATGGAATGGTACCTTGCTTTGGTACTAAAATATTACGGCAATTCGGTCTCCTCCAAACTATTCCTTATGAAGGGCAAGTAGGGGAGGCGGACTGATTTCGTTTTGACTTTTGTCCCCAATGCAAGGATTAGACACTTTTAGAGGCTCTCTGTAGTTGGAATAGTCGAGATTACGCCATTTGGGTTTTTGAGACAGTTTTTGATCTCCTAGGTGTGCATGAGTATAAAAACCATGTTGGTGTAACTTCAAAATCTAGTTCTCAAAGCACTTATCAAAACTTCACTTTGTATTAATGTACAATAACCTTGCAAATACACATATGCATACACGCACACATCTTAATACCTTCTAAAAAGAAAAATAATAGAAAAAGAAAAACTCATCCAATGATTGAAACCTAACCCACCATACCAGTAATCGAGAAGCAATCATAGTCTATTTACATTTACAATAGATACATTTAAATTAGGGACGTCAACTCAAATTCACAATTAATAACAAACAACATGAAATATATATATATATATATTTGTTTAAATGCTTGTACAACGGTTGTAGAATAGGTAAGAACATATGTAGAATTGGGACAAACCTTATTTTTAATTGTGGATTCATCACAAGGATACAAGACCGAAGAAAACTATCAAGAAGGTAGGTCAACGACCACCAAAAGAGAGAGAGGCGTAGGTACCTCCTCAATCCAGCCCTATACGTAGTCATGCAAGAGCATGAGCCACTTGGTTTGTGGTCCAATGAGAAGTGTATTTTCTAAGAGCAAAACCAATGAGTGGCTCAATTTCTGAAAGATTTTATGCCTTTAAATCAACAGCCCTTATATTTTGTTAGATTCTCTTAATAGAAACTACATTGGGTATCAAGAAACCCGAGTAGAACTTGAAGAAATCCCCAAGACTTTACTTAAGGATGTTAGATGAATGTTGCGTGTAGTGCCAACCAGTGGATTATTATAGGAAGAGAAAGAGAATGATGGGGCTTTCTTTTCCATGGTGATATAAACATTAGTGACAATGAATTTCTTAAATCTAGCCTCTTCTCTAAGGAGAAAGGGTGGGTTTTTATATCGATTGATGGGAATGACTTGGAGAAAGAGGCATTATGAGGAAGGACGGACAAGAGGTGATTGATGGCATATAGCTACGGAAATGTTCAAATAATGACTAAATTGCTTGAGTTGATTTGAACATCAGTAGTTGTGTTATTTCATAAATGTTGTGTTTGGGGTAATAGTCGCAACTATTTCACCTGTAGCAACAGTGGAACCCTTACACAAGACATGTAAATGAAATTTTAAATTTATAAAGACAGTTTGGGAGAGTATAGGAAACACCTTCCATCTTTCTGAAGTAGTAGTAAATGATTATGTATATTTGTTTTTGTCTCTGTTTTTCTTCTTATCTTGATAAGGTTTCAACGATAGGTATACTTATAAGATGCTTGAAGATGTCATTGGTGAACGATACAAGGGTGGTTATGTTTTTATTAAACTGCCCTTCGATTTTTAGGCAAGTTACTTTTCACCTTAGAATAGCAGACATTAGTTTTGCCTAATAAATTGTGAATAATTATTTGACTTACATTCTTTTGCTGTAGAACAAATGCAATAAGGGTTATGCATTCATCAATCTGACTGAACCTGTCTCTGTTATCCCCTTCTATCAGGTTTGTTTGATTAATGCTACAAAAGGGTGTCATATTTTTGCTTTTCATTTTTTTGTTTCTTCTCTCTCTCTCACTCTCTTCTTTCTTTTTTGCGCGAAAAGAACGGGAAAAGTTGGACATAAAAATGAATTGATTGCAACAGCTGTCTTCCTCCTCTTGTAGTTTAATTGAACCTCAACCTGTCTAGCTTTTCCTATTCAACTATTGTTGAAATCTATTCATTTTCACTATCTCCAACTTGAATGCCTAGGTCCTTTGCCACGCCTATAAGGTCTGTTTTGCGTTGCTATAATTGGATCGTTGGATGTAGCTAATAGAGAAGGTCCCTTTTTTTTGACAGGTTTTTAATAGAATGCAATGGGTAGAGTTTAACTGTAGAAGAAATGCAGCAATTTCTTATGTTAAGATGTAGGGAAAAGCTGCACTCGAAGCCCACCAGCATGGTCAAACTTGAAGACTGGGGATAAGCATGTGATCAGGTATTCACATTACATGAAGAAGACATTTTCAAAAATTTTCAACTTATATTTGTTGTCGGGGTGAAATGTTATATCATGATTACTACTAAACTCAATTTGTTGGATGTAGTCTATTTGGTTGATTTTGGGACAGTCCCCTTATTACTTGTTTGCCCGGTGTTTGTAGTCTCCTATTATCACTTGGGTGTAAGTGTTGGACAGGGAATCTTATTGATTCGCTGTGGTCTGGTGATGTGAAGTTTGTGTTGTGCGTAGAGCCCTGTGCTTGGCACACTCACTCATCTATTTTATTTCCATTGAGTTGATGTGTCAATTATGGGTCTGGTTGTTTGCTGTTGCGAATTGTTGATTTTCGGAAATAGAGTTATATCCTTTAACATGGTTGAGTTGCAATTTGCATTGAATTTTGGTGTTTGATTTTCGTTACGCGTGTCAGTTGAGTGAGTTAAAAAGAGGTTCTTGTAAGAAAAGGAATGTGGCTGTAGTGTCGATTTGAACAGAAGGGTTTTGGAAGAAAAACGAGATTCTGTGTAGGCTCTCAAAATAAGTTGGGGCAGCATTAGGGTTGCAAATGAACTGAATTGTTTTTAAATAACTCGAGGTTGGTTTATTTGAAGTTTCTTTAAACTTTTTAAATAGCACCATTTTTATTCAATTTTCATTTTTATTCAACTTCCAAATAGAGCGTTAAGGTATCAATTCTTGAATCAACTTGCGTTTTTATTCAACTCTAATTTTTATTTTTTTTCAACTTTCATTTTTACTTTTATTTAAATCAACTTCCATTTTTACTTTTATTTACGGTGTTTTCTTGAAAATATTTTTGGGTAAAATTTATTTGAATAAAAACATTGAATAAATTTTAAATGTTAAGGTAAATAATTTTTTAAAAATTAATTTTTGAGTGTAAAAACAAATTAAAAAATGGTTATCATTCATTTTTACTACACGTACTCTCTAAATCAGTGAGTGTTTGGATAAAATTTATTCTTTTGACCTTTTTATTTATTAGGAAAACAAGGGTAAATAAAAATAAAAATGTAAGTTGAATAAAAATAGAAGTTGAATAAAAAAATTAAAAATCAAACTAAAAATGACTATAAGTTGAATGAAAATGGAAGTTGAATAAAAATAAAAATGGAAGTTTAATAAAAACACAAGTTGATTCTAGAAACCACACGCACACATCTTAATACCTTCTAAACAATGGTTTTCTCTTCTATTCTAGTTCTATATTTGCAACTTACCATTGATACAAACCCGAATGCCTCTTAAAACCCGAATGCCTCTTAACAACAATTGTTAGTAGCACTAGGGAAGAAAATAACTGAAAGGAGAAAACATCACATAAGATTGATATTGAAAAGAAGAAAAGAAAAAGATAAACTATGGAGTACACTTGCAAAAGGTAAGATTTTTAATGTGAAAAACAATAAAATGAAATTGAGTGCACCTACTTACCACTAGAGAGAGAGAGAGACGGGTAACCTAATTAGGGAGTGAGTAGAAAAAGGGTTAATGAGAAACATTAAAAGCAAAAAAATTTAGATTTGAATTAGAATACTATTTTGTTGTAGTTTTCAGCATTTATATGTATATATATATATATATATATATATTCCTTCTTAATTATGAATTTTTAAAACAAATATTTTTCACATGTCTATTCTTGTTAATATAGCAAACTATAAAAAGCCCCATCTACTTTCTTTTCATTGCAGAGTCTGTTGAACACATTTTCAGCTTAGGCGTCATCTTATTGCAATGAGTGACAAAAAAACTGTACCTTCACAGAAATGGAAAACACTTGGAAAACATAATCAATGAAGAGCCTAAGTTGAAAAAGATGATCGGGTTGATCGATGAAAGTTTGCTAAGCTCGGGATGTTAAAAGAAGAAAGGTAAGAAAACTATTAAACTGGCACTTCGATTGTCTCCATGGCAATATAGATGCATCAGAAGTTGTTCAGAAATTGGATAATTTTTTTAGAAAGAATAGGTTTACAAACAACCTCAAATGCTTTACAGTTCTATACAGTTCTATGAATTTCCTTACATGTACTTACTAGTCTTTGTGTAATGGCAATTGGGCTAGATCGTGTTAGTAAGGCTTTTATGACTCGAGGTTCATATTAGGGAAAGGAGAGTGAGGGGAAGCAACTTTATCACAATTACATTTTATATGTATGTTTGTTGGAATACAATTGGTGCTGGAGCATACATTTTACACTTTATTATTCTTGTAATTATACTTGATGTAAGATGCTAAATTTAGTATATTACTTAAAATGCAAAAAACAAATCTTTTACTCAACACAACTGCGCATGTTAGTTTGAGGACAACAAAGTGTTTGCTAGGGTTTACAACTTAGAGAGGTTTTGTTTTGTCTAGAATTCAAGTTCTAAAATAACCAAAATAAGAGAGATTAGCGCCAAGTTCGTAGATATGATGTTTGCATGAATAAAGGACACATTCAATTTACAGGGCAATAAATCTAACTATACCCAATCGTTCTTTCCATACCTGGAGTGTTCCAATCTAAAATTACAACCCTTGTTTTTAGAATTTGACTAGCCTAACAACAACTGTCCATTGAATGCTGATATTATTTCCCAAGACTACTAAGGAACTAGTGTTTTTCGTTATAGCTTTTTTCAAGTCATGAATGATTGTTTTTTTCTTCTCGTAACATCACCAAACACATCTAATCAACTTAATCTATTTCTCTAAAATTTTGTGCCACCTAGTGTCTTCATAGGCATGAGCTTCTTGGGTCTACGACGCTAATTCTCACTTATTTTTTACCGCAATGCATAGTTCCTATGATACTTGTCAGTGTTTTCTTACATAGGCTTGTAATGATAATAACTGCCATTAGCGTAATAGTGTAAGCATTTCTTTCATGGTAGGATATTCAAATAGCAATGTCATGTTACAAGCTAAATATTTCGTTAGTTTAGAGTCAACTTTGGCCATCTTGAGAATTTGGTCACAAAACAGAGCAAAGCTCATAGAAAAAATAACATAGTTAGAGAATGCAGAACTTAGCAGGCTCCTCTTTCAAGCAAGCAAAAAGGCCATGATAAGATTGGAGAGAGAGAGAGAGAGTGACATTATATATAACAAGAGCACAAATTTGTTTTCAAGCGTAATAAGAGGTGCAATTGCAATTAAAGATCACATATGTTGGGAAGATTAAATCACAAATCAAATAATATCCATGACACAATAATGAGATACGAGGCATATAGGATTGCAATTGGAGAAAACAGATTAATTTTGTTCAAAGAGTGTGTGCAAGTGAACTTTATGGCCATTGATGGGGTAAATGATTTTAAAAAAAAAAAAAAAAAAGGAAAGGAAAAGAAAAGAAGAAAAAAAAATATATTAATGGGTCAAGACTTAATTTAAGGGATTGTGTTTCTTTTCTTGGCCTCCAAGTAGAAGCCTTGAAGTCAACTAGGTCCTTAATTAAATGAGCTCAAGTGCTTAATCTACCTCCATTCTATTCCATTTCGACCAAGTGACCACAAATTCAATTCAAACCCAATCAAGGGCTTTTAGGTCTTTTCAACCACCACCCAAATTCACATCTCTATATAAACGCAAGACATTCTCCCTCATATACACACCTATACAGCCGGCCATAGTGACGAAGGAAGAGAGAGAGAGAAAAAAAAATATAAAAAAAGAAAGGAAGAAAGAATTGCATCTAAGCCAGCCATTCTCGACCCCTACTTTCCATCTTTTCTATTACTTATTTTCCCTTCCCAATACATGCTATATGTATAATATATATGGTATTTAAAACTTATGCACTTGTATGCTCATAAATTTTTTTTCAAAAGACTCATTCTTTCCTTCAATTTCCAGCATACTCTTCTTCATCTTTCTGTGACCTTGCAAATTTTGGGAACATCGATAAAATAATACAATGATACACCAGGGTTTAACTAGTAGATACACAATATTTTTAAGCACAAAATACAAAAAATTATACTAAAAGAAAATATTAATAATAGTTACAGATAAAATTTTTCAAGTCTTTAAATACAGATCAGTTTCTTGATACAAAAAGATTATCCAAAATACTGAAAATATAAAATCTAATATCTAGGGCAGCCATGGTTTCTCAAAGCTTTCAAGGATTACGTACTCGGTACAAAACTCACCTTCACCTAGCATAAAACGCCATGAGCTTGGAATGCCTAGTAAACACATACACACCCTGTCCATTTTCCCATTCCAAATACACAAGTAAAATAATAGCATGATCCTAACATACAACAAAAACAATAATTAAGCAAAACTTATAATAAATTTTAGTTCTCATGAATAATAGTCAATTTCAGTTCTCATGGATAGCAGTCGATTAAGTTAGTTCTAGGCAACTCTCTACGGAATGCTGTTCCTACGCAACCAGTAACACTGGCCACTGGTAATTCTGACTCCCCATTGGTTAATACAATACCAATGCGTCGTTTATCGCACAATTACCAATGATGCCTACGCACCTAGGTTACATATCCGAGCGGTGACATCACGGTCTATCCCAAGGGAATGGGCTTCCAGGGCTACTCTCCCTGCGTGAGACCCTCACTGCCACCCTTATGCCTCACATTTTCGTTAAGCAGCCAGAATACCTCCCGTGCCATGTTAGGATTCGACAACACACTTGTGCAAGACTTCACAAAAATGGAACACATTCCACTATATCATACTCCATCGTTCATTATCTCATAAAATTTACTACAATGATTGCAACCCATTACTATCCCATTTGATTTTCCCTTTATTAAGTGTATTATGTTCTCAATTATAGCAAAGCATGGTCAATATAATTACAAATTCAAACTAAACAACAAGTAATTTATTCATGGTAAAACAAATTCACAATTTATCATAGATTACATATCAAGATTAAAACATTCAAGAAACATAGAATATAAGAGTTGCAAACCAAATAAGAGCATATTAACACAAATTTTCAGATTTGAACCAGTTTGAAAGTAATTATGAAAAAAAAACTTTTATTGACCCTAAGTACCTGGCCTCATGTGACTTTGTAGATCAATAAGTCTAGTTTCAAACTTAATTTATGAAAGTAGGATATGTATTTTAAATTTTAAGATAATTCAGAATTACCAAGATCTATCCAGATTCGTTGACTGTTACACAAATTGTTTTTTTTTTTTTTTTTTCTCTCAAGCCCCTCACTCTCTTGAGTTCAAACAAATTTTAGTTGAAATATAACACCAAGATTAAGATTTTGACATAAAAGTGGACTCGGGATTATTTTTCTGGAATTTTCTAAAAATAGAGAAAGTTGAGTGTTTTTCTGGTTCTGTGAGTAACAAACTTAAAAAAATTGTTTAGGTTATAAAAATACATCCTTAGGTCCTACCAAAATTATCTCATACTCTAGACATACCAAATATTACCCCATAAAAACAGATTTTGAGTTTATGGAGTTTTGATTGGAAAATAAATTCAAGAGAGGGAAAAGTTTTGCTGCTGGAAATTTAAGAAAGAAAGAGAAGTACACAATTTCTTGATTAATACACATGTATATAAGAGTGTAGGCCTAGACTACAACATATATATACAAATAGGAACGGAAAAAAAGTGGTAAAAGAACTTGAGAGAAGAGGTGATGTAGGTTTATCTTTGTTGTACAAAACTTAACACAATTCTTCTTTTCTTCTTCTCTTCTCTCTCTCTCTCTCTCTCTCTCTTCTCTTTTTCTAAGATCACTCTCTCTCACTCCTCTCGTGCATGGCTGAAAATTGTGCTAAATGAGGAGGAGAAGTGTGCATATATATATAGAGAAAGAATTGGGAGGTTTCTTAGGGACTAAGTTCCCTAAGTGCAAATTTGTCAAAATGCCATCAAGGCCCTTTCATTCATCACATGGCCAACTACTTGGGCTCCAAGAAATATACATATATATATATATATATATATATATATATATATTTATTTATAAACATAAAATAATAGGCACAAGTACATTAATTAATAAAATATTAAAATTAAGGTTTAGAATGAAATAAAATAGAATTATATAGGGACCAAGTCTAAATTTATGAAATCTTGATATTTATTATTAATATACTAACATTAGAAAATAGTTAAAATAATAAATTTGGGTTTCGTTAAATTAAAGCACAAAGAAAGGCAAGAAACCGAGCGAAAACGACGTTATCGGGGATTAAGATTTTAAAGTAATTAATCTATAATTATAGGGTCTAATAATTAATACCAGGGTTTTAAAGGTGATTATTAATTTACTGAGATCAAATAGGGTTTACTCGAATTAATCCGCAATGCTTCCTGATTCTAGGGTTTTAAACGCAATTAAGCGAAAATTCAAAGGCTTTATTGAAATAAGCTCAAGGTTAGGGATTTAATGGTAATTACAAAAATTAAGGTCTCTACACTTTCTATTGGAAAATTTTGAAGTGGTGAATTGAAATAGACTCCATTTGAATGAAATGGTGCAACCTTCCATTTGAATGAAAGGGTGCAACCCTTTCATGGTGTCTCTTTATCTTAAAAGGGTGTGACCCAAGGGTCATCTTCTTCTTCATGCATTTTCTATTCAAACCGAATAGGTGCCAACAAGGCCTATATAAAGGCAACCCTCATTTCAATTTTCTTTATTCCTAATTCCTTAAGTTCAAGCATTCTTCTTGTATTATTCGTCTGTGTGAGTCTAAATTTTGTGAGTGCAAAATATAATTTTGGTTTGTTGTACAATAAAAAACGTGCTCTCTTCGTTTGTGGTGATGGTTGTATTTTGGAGACAGGACGTCCATTGTTCTCAAGCACCATTGGAGAGAACAAAATTCTGTCTTAAAGACACAATGTTTAAACACTGGCCTCAATCACAAACTCAGAAGTACTGTAAGCTTTAATTATGTTGTTTCCTTTATTTATTTTATTTGCTTTAATTAATTATTGCCGAAATTATCTCCAACAATTTTAAGACAGAATTTCTATACTGTTTTCTGTATTACAGTATTGATTTTTCAGTTAAAATTAATTTTTAGCAAATTTCTATTCTTATATACGACGTATTAGAAGTTTGGGTTTTTATTGTTTGGTTTATTTATTACACATTTGTTTACTAATATTTACTCGAATATGTATTTGAGTATAACTCTTTTTCGGTTCAATTTTGGTTTTAAGTTTAGAATATTTATTTATGGGTTTACAATTTTTTCTGGTTTTGTTTTCTGTACTATACCGTTATATATATATATTATTTTTTTCTGTAAAAATATTTTTTTGACTCTATCAGTATTATTGTGGGACTTTTTTTTTTTTTTAGTATAATTAATTGTTATATTTGTGGCCTTTCAATATTGTAGACAATATTGTTTGAACCGTAATAGTGTTTCTATGAAACTTTGTTCTTTTGTATTCTAGTTCTAGTGTTAATTTTTGAGAATACTATTTTTTGGGAACACGGTTGTTGCTGATAAAGTTTTTTAACCTAAATTAAAATTTTACTGAATTTATTTGGTTATTGTTTGGTGAACTTTTTTTAATTTGGAATTTTTTTTTTGTTTATCTGAATTCTCTTTGCAATAGAACTCTGTTTTGTGGTCCAAATAATTTGTAGTATACTAGATTATTTGGACACTTATTTTTACATTGTTGTATTATTCTAGCATTGTGAAGTTTACAATATATGTATAAATTTATTTTTATAGTTATATATATATAGTGGAATCTTCTGTTTAACATAAAAAAGGAATTTTTTTTGTTAATCAAAAGTGGCTATAGAAAGTAATGATACACTGGGAAATACTGCCCCTACACCCGTTGTGTCTATACCGGTTGCTTCCATTCTGACGTTTGTTGGATATGGTCATGTTCTCGTCAAACATGAGGAAAAACCTGAAAAATTTAGTGGGATAGATTTTGAACGTTGGCAACAGAAAATATTATTTTATCTAACCACCTTGAATTTGGCAAGGTTTTTGAGAGAAGATGCTCCATCTCTTAGTGAGAATGAAAGTGATGCACAAATTGTTGTAGCAGTGGATGCATGGAAACATGCAGATTTTCTCTGTAGGAACTATATCCTCAATGAATTGGATAACTCATTATACAATGTTTATAGTCCAATCAAGACTGCAAAAGCATTGTGGAATTCACTTGATCGCAAATATAAAACAGAAGATATCGGAACAGAGAAATTTGTTGTTGGTCGCTTCCTTAATTTTGAGATGACGAATTCCAAAATAGTGATCAATCAAGTCCAAGAACTTCAAGTTATCTTGCATGAAATTCGTGCAGAAGGAATGTCTCTGAGTGAATCTTTTCAAGTGGCGGTTATTATTGAAAAATTACCACCGACTTGCAGGGATTTAAAAAACTATTCAAAACATAAACGCAAAGAGATGTCACTAGAGGATTTGATTGTTCGCTTGCGGATTGAAGAGGATAATCGTGGTTCTGAAAGGAAAAATGAATATTGTCTCATGGAATCCAAGGCAAACGTTGTGGAACATAAGTCAAAGCTCAACAATAAGAAAAGGAAACATCTCGAAGAGAGCTCCAAGCAAGGTGTTAAAAGTGGATATAGTTAGAATTTTAATGGCAAGTGCTTTGTCCGTGACAAAATGGGACATCGTGTCAAGGATTGTTGCAAGATGAGGGGCTCAAGGAAATTACAAGAAAAAAACCTACTCAAGCCAACTTAACTGAAGAAGAGAGTCTTTGTGCAATGGTTTCGCACCTGAATGTAACTGGCGTCTTGTCTGAAGTTAATTTGGTGGACAACCCCAAAGCTTGGTGGGTGGACACAGGCTCTACTCGCCACATTTGTTCTGAGAAAAAAATGTTCTCATCATATCATGTAGCAGAAGATGGAAAACAACTCTACATGGGAAATTCTTCGACTTCCAAAGTTGAGGGACAAGGGAACGTGGTGCTAAATGATGTCAGGCAAAGAACTCACTCTCAAAGATGTGCTGTATGTACTAGATATTCGAAAGGACCTCATTTCTGGATCATTGCTGAGCAAGAATGGATTTAAATTAGTGTTTGAGTCTGATAAGTTTGTAATCAGCAAAAATGAAATGTATGTAGGAAAGGGGTACATGAGTGATGGAATTTTTAAACTTAATGTAATGACTGTTGTTCCAAAGTTTAATAAAATTAACACATCTTCTGCTTACTTACTTGAGTCTTCTTGTGTGTGGCATGGAAGATTAGGTCATGTAAATTATGATACTTTGCGAAGATTAATTTACCTAGATTATTTGCCTAAATTTCAAATTGATTCAAATCACAAATGTGAAGTGTGTGTTGAAGCAAAATTAACTAAAGCACCATTTCAATCAATTGAAAGGAAAACTGAGCCACTGGACTTAGTCCATAGTGATATTTGTGATTTGAAATTTGTTTAAACTCGGGATGGCAAAAAGTATTTCATTACTTTCATTGACGATAGCACTAGATATTGCTATGTGTACTTGCTATGAAGTAAGGATGAACCCTTGGAAAAATTCATTCAATATAAGAGTGATGTTGAATTACAACTAGGTAGAAAAATTATGGTGTTAAGAAGTGATAAAGGTGGTGAATATGATGCATCTTTGCTAACTTATGTTCACAACTTGGAATTGTACATCAAACTATTGCGCCTTATACACCTTAGCAAAATTGAGTTGCTGAGAGGAAAAATCGAACTTTAAAAGAAATGATGAATGCTATGTTAATAAGTTTGGGACTACCTTAGAACTTGTGAGGAGAAACTATTGTTTTTGCCAATTATATTTTGGATAAAATACCTCACAAGAAAACCCTTCAAACACCTTGTGAATTATGAAAAGGTCGAAAGCCTTCCTATAAATATTTAAAAGTGTGGGGGTGTTTGGCTAAGGTAGCATTACTAGACCCTAAAAAGGTCAAGATTGGTCCTAAAACAATTGATTGTGTATTTATTGGATATGCAAACAACAACAGTGCTTATCAATTTTTAGTACATAAAAGTGACAACGCGGAGGTTCATGTTAATACAATCATTGAGTCAGGGAATGCTTCATTTTTCAAAAATATTTTTCCTTGCAAATTAGCTCAAGAGATTAGTATTCCTAAACGGACTCATGATATTACATTTGACACTAGGCAAGAATTGGTTGAAGAAAACGAAGGAGGAGAGTTCGAAGAATAGCCTAGACAAAGTAAAAGGGTTAGAGTTGAGAAAACTTTTGGTCCTGACTTCTTAACATTTCTACTTGAGAAAGAGCCTCGAACTTTCAAAGAAGCAATATCAACTCCGGAATCTCCTTTATGGAAGAAGCAATTAACAGTGAGATTGAATTCATTCTACAAAATCATACTTGGGAATTAGTGGATCTTCCACCAGGTTGTAAACCTCTTGGATATAAATGGATATTCAAAAGGAAAATGAAATCGGATGGATCAATTGACAAGTACAAAGCAAGAATTGTGGCCAAAGGTTATAGGCAAATTGAAGGAGTGGATTACTTCGATACCTATTCACCTATAACAAGGATCACATCCATTAGAATGTTAATTGCAATTGCTGCTTTAAATAATGATACATCAAATGGATGTAAAGACTGCATTATGGAATGGTGATCTGAATGAATAAATATACATAGAACAACCAGAAGGTTTAGTCATTCCAGGGCAAAGAGAAGAAAGCGTGCAAATTAGTAAAATCATTGTATGGCTTGAAACAAGCACCAGAACAATGGCATGAAAAATTTGACATCGTCATGATGATAAATGGATTTAAAATCAATGAGTGTGACAAATATATTTATGTTAAAAATACTAAGAAAGGTTATGTCATTGTTTTCCTCTATGTAGATAATATGCTAATTATTGGTATCAATAGTGGAATGATCAATTCAACTAAGAAAATGTTGAAAACTAAGTTTGACATGAAAGATATGGAAGTAGCAGATATGAGTTTAGGAATGAAAATTACTAAAACATCTAAAGGATATGTTTTGTCTCAAACTCATTATGTTGACAAAATTCTTAAGAAACTCAATAAGCATGAAGACCGTCATATAAAGACACCCGTGGATGCTAACCTCCATTTAATAAAAAATAAAGGTGAAAGCATATCACAATTGGAATACTCCTGTATAATTGGAAGTCTAATTTATCTCCTGAGTTGCACGCATCCTGATATAGCACATGCAATAAGTAAATTGAGTAGATACACTAGTAACCCACGAAAAGACTTGGACAACAATTTTAGGGTTCTTAGATACCTAAAATACACCAGTGACTATGGAGTGTACTATACTAGATATCCAACGGTCCTAGAAGGGTATTGCGATGCTAATTGGATATCTGACACTAAGGATTCTAAATCCACTAATGGATATGTCTTTAGCTTGAGAGGTGGAGCGGTCTCTTGGAAATCTTCTAAATAGACTTGCGTTGATAGATCCGCAATGGAATATGAATTTATGTTGGAACAAAAGGTCTTGAATTCTTCAAATTGTGGTCTTCGGGTCTTCAAAATTTAGCAATGAACTTGTCTATATAGAACAGAAAATTAGTGCTTCAAGTCGCGTTACTAAGTCGCTTTCCTAAAGACAATATTTGTACCCACCAAAAGGTGTGCAGGGGGTTACAACAAATTTGCCTCCAGGATACAATGAAGCCTGATATAAAGATCTAGTCTATCTACGTTTGCACTGACGACAATAGATCAGAACACTTTTGATATAATCAAGAAACCAAGACACTGATAATCAAATTTGCAGAACTTGATTATCAATAAGAAAAACAGAAATTTGCTAAAGAAACTCTTGATCGAAAATTCAAAATCAAGAGGGAGAGAGAGAGAGAGAGAATTGCAGGAATAATGCTTTTTAGGATTTTGGATGGAATGAAATGGTTGATTTTGTAGCCTATTTATAGGCCCTAATGGATCTGATTGAATGGTCATGTCCCTTGATTGCATCTGATCAGATCTGACCATTGGATCTACGATCTATGGTGCAGATCATTTCGATATCGAATAAATGCCTTGACTAGTCACACCTGATCACAATCGGGTGCCATCTCATCCGTACGATCGCGCGCATCTCCAATCAACGGCTATGATCAACCTGCTCCAAATCGGACACACAACCGTTTGATCGATTGGTTGGCTCATCGCCAACGGACGATATGTCATTGCCATGTGG